AGACAATTCCCCAAATGGTGGGAGTACAGGAAAAGAAAAGACACAGGACCCGGAAAACACGGGGCTCTGACCCCGGAGGAGGAGAAGCTGCCTCTGCACAGCCCAGCAGCCCAGGAGGGAGCAGGGCGGCTCCAAAAGAAGAGACAGAGGCTGACCTCCCAGCCAACAGCAAAGCCAGCGCAAGGGTGTGGCTGAGGCTTTGGGGAGAAATTCGTGAGGGTGCATTGGAAACAAAGCGAACCAAGAAGCGAGGCCATTATTAACTCCAGAAAAGCAAAGGCGTCATAATAAATATCACAGAGCCGTAATAACAAAATTCCATAAACTGCAATACCAAAAAAACGGTGATACCAAAAAAACAAAACAAAACGAAACAAATAAGTCCATTGGACTTCATTAAAATTAAATACTTTTGTTCTAAAAACACTATTACAGAGCTGGGTGCAGTGGCTCACGCCCATAATCCCAGCACTTTGGGAGGCTAAGGCAGGAGGATCACTTGAAGGCAGGAGTTCGAGAACAGCCTGGACAACATGGTGAAACCCCATCTCTACTAAAAATACAAAAATTAGTCGGGCGTGGTGGTGGGTGCCTGTAATCCCAGCTACTTAGGAGGCTGAGGCAGGAGAATCGCTTGAACCTGGGAGGCAGAGGTTGCAGTGAGCCGAGATCGCACCACTGCATACCAACCTGCGTGACAGAGTGAGATTCGCTCTCAAAAAAACTAAAACCACTATTGCAAAAAGGAAAGGCCCACCAGACTGGAATCAAATATGTGCAAACTAGATTCCTGGCAAGGGACTTCCATCTAGAGTATACAGAGGACTTTTATAACTAAAGACGACAAACGCCCAAGTGGAAGAAAGGGGGAAGATTCTAACACACACTTCACCACGAGAGATGAACAAAACACAAAAAGATGCTCCACGACATCAGTTAATGAAGGAAATGCCCCAAACTAAAACCACCCAGGTGTCCGTCAACAGGTGAGGGTACGACCGAACCGTGGCACTTTCGCACAACAGGACCCTGCAAGCTATGAAAAGCAACAAATTCCTGACGTGCGCCGCAGCAACGCGGCTCAGAATAACCACACACACCCGAGGAAGCCGGACAAAAAAAGAAGACACACCGTATGGTTCCATTTATGTAAAACTCTAGCAAATGCACACTAAATTACAGTGACAGAAAGCGGATCAGTGGTTGCCTGGAGATGGGGAGGGGGGGCCCAAGGGAGATGGGGAGGGGGGGCCCAAGGGAGTCTGGGAGAGACAGACTAAGTTCACTGTGGTGATTGTGGCCACAGCTTCACAGGTATACACACGTCAAAACTCATCACACTGGACACTCAGATACCTCAATGAAGTTGTAGAGTCATCGTAATACAGTGTCTGCCTCAGCCATGAAAAGAATTAATATCATCAGATAACACCGTGAGTTTAAACAAATATTGTGATAATTATACTGGGTGGGACAAGGGATAGCATAAAAAGGCTAAGTCCATATCTTCCGCAGTAAGAATTCTGTTTGATGATGTCTAAAGTTTTTTTTTTGAGACAGTCTCGCTCTGTCGCCTAGGCTGGAGTGCAATAGCACCATCTTAGCTCACTGCAACCTCTGCCTCCCAGGTTCAAGCAATTCTCCTGTCTCAGCCTCCCTAATAGCTGGGATTACAGGCGCGTGCCATCACGCCCAGCTAATACTTTGTATTTTAGTAGAGACGAGGTTTCCCCATGTTGCCCAGGCTGGTCTCGAACTCCTGAGCTCAGGCAATCCACTTGCCTCGGCCTCCCAAAGTGCTAGGATTACAGGCATGAGCCACCATGCCTGGCCCTGTCTAAACTTTTAAAGAGGGAGGCGGGGAGGGGGAGTGGCGGGCAGGAGGGGGATGAGGGGAGATGGGGATGAGGTGGAGGAGGAGGAGGGGGGAGTGGCATAAACCTGCCCTCTTCACGCGGCCGGCCGAGGGAGCCGCCTCTGCGCTGCAAGACTTGGGCACCCTAGGAGGGTGGGAAGGGGCCAACTTCGTTTCAAACACGGATGTGTTGCTTTCATAAAAACTCAACTCCCAGCCATCTGACCCGGCAAGTCCAGTTTCAGTGCATGCACAGGAGAGATGAAAACAAAGCTGCTGGAAGGTGACAGTAACCCCAGACACATGAAATGGGTCCGCCCATGCAATGGGTCATTGTTCAGCCACAAACAGGAATAAGGCCCTGACACGGGCTACAGCACAGACGGACGGTAAACACGCGCTCAGGGAAAAGGGTCAGACACAGAAGGTCACACACTGTATGCCTCCATTAATATGAAATGTCCAGAACGGGCCAGTCCAGAGAGAGACGCGGTGGCATGGCTGCCACGGGCTGGGAGTGTGGGGATGAGGGAGGGACTGCTTAAGGGGTACGGGGTTTCTTTTGGGGGTGCCAAAAATGCTTTGCGGTGATAAAAACGCTTTGGAGTTAGACAGGGGTAATAGGTGCACACTGCAAATACGCTAAGCCACAGAACTGTATGCTCTAATGGGGTAACTGTATGGCATGTGAACTGTGTCAATAAAGCTGTTACCAGGAAAGAAACCTGACTCCAGAGCCAGGCGGGCATGTGGCGGGCCTCTGCAGATGGACAGCGGGGCTCCACGCTCCAGGAAGCGCCCTGGGAGAGATTCCACAAGGCCACAGGTAGACAGACGCTCCCTGATCCAAGTAAGAGCCCTCACGTCTCCCTCTCCTCCTGAAGCTTCCCTTCTCCTCCTCGTGCCCATGTGGGCTCAGCACCTTCTTGTAGTCAACCACCAGGGACTCTGCCGACAGGAAGTTCTGGAATCCCACCGTTTTGGACATACGCACCCCTCACTGTGGGCCACAAAAGCCTGGAGTTCCCCACAGGCAGACCCCCATGCGACCAAGGGAGGAAGGCACCCGGTCCTCCAGCTGTCTCCCAACAAACGGTGAATGATGGTAAGACAATGACTCGGCCAGGAGTGGTGGCTCACGCCTATAATCCCAGCACTCTAGGAGGCTGAGGTGGGAGGATCACTTGAGCTCAGGAGCTTAAGACCAGCCTGGGCAACATAGTGAGACCTTACCTCTAACAAATCAAAAATAAAAAAGTAGCTGGGTGTGGTGGCGCATGTCTGTGGTCCCAGCTACTAGGGAGGCTGAGGCAGGAGGATCACTTGAGCCCATAAGTTCAAGGCCACAGTGAGCCGTGATCGTGCTACTGCATTCCAGCCTGTAGAGACAGAGCAAGACCCTGTCTCTAAAGAAAAAGAAAACGCCCCTTTCACAGACACCCACTGCTTCTGCCCTTCTCCAAACCCTGAAGACCTGGGCTGGCGCCCAGGAGCTCCAGAGCAGGCTGCTGTTGGTTGCACTGGAGTCTCGGCCTCCACCGCCCTAACGCCATGCATCTCACACCTCACCCTCCAGGCTGAGTCTGTGGAGGTCCGGCAACCCCGCCCAGAGTGCCTCCTCCTCTCCTCCCCAGTCTGTCAACACAGCGGTGCCTCAAGAAACTCCCAGCGCCGGCACCGTGGCTCACGCCTGTAATCCCAGCACTTTGGGAAGCCAAGGCGGGTGGATCACAAGGTCAGGAGTTCAAGACCAGCCTGGCCAAGATGGTGAAATCCCATCTCTACTAAAAAAAAAAAAAAAAAATAGCCGGGCGCAATGGCAGGCACCTGTAGTCGCAATTACTCAGGAGGCTGAGGCACGAGAATCGCTTGAACTCAGGGTGTGGAAATTGCAGTGAGCTGAGATCGTGCCGCTGCACTCCAATCTGGGTGACAGAGTGAGACTCCATTTCAAAAAAAAAAGAAAAGAAAAGAAAAAAGAAGTTCCCAGGAATCACCAGACCTGCAGCAAACATCCCAGCGGGCCTGCCCAAGGGAATGGCATGGTGGGGGGAGGGGGCTCCAATGAGGGGCCATAGGGGCTGCTAAGCACGCAGGATGTCGAGAGCGAACTGGAGAGAACGGAGCCTGGGCAGGCAAAGCTGGTTCCCGGGTTCCCGGCCCCACCGCCTCAGCATTAGGGAGATGGAGCCTCTTCTGGGAGCTGGAATTGACACAGAGCAACCCAGGACCCCCCAACCCACTGCCTGCCGACACATCCAGGGCCTCTGTCAGTCAAGGGGGCTGTCAGTCTCCAAAAAGAAAAGTAGAAAAAAGGGACCAGGGCCAGTCCCACTGACGCTTCCCCATCCGAGGGTCTCCAGACCTGGAGACCACCTCCCAGATCGGCGGCCACGGGGAGATAATCAAGAGCGAGCACGGCCTGTCCTCTGTGACCAGAGGGAAGAGGAATCCAAGTGGTTTCTCCAGCAACTCAGGCTTCGTCGTGCGTTGAGGAAGCTCTGGGAGCAGCAAATCAGCACAGGCACAGCCGGCCTGGGGTCTCCCAGGTGGGCAGAGGAGACCTCAGCACCACCCAGCTAGGTGAGGGGACTGTGGAAGCATGGACTCCGCCTCAGCCACGCCTGCAGCACCACCACGCAGGCCCTGACTTTCCAGGTTTTGTCCTGTGTCCCTCGACATAGACGTCGTAGGAGCCACCACAGAAAATTTGCTAAACACAGACAAAGCGTCAATAACATAAGCTGCCAGTCAGCCAGCAGACACGCTGCTGGAGCGTCTTCCTCAGGGCCACACCGCACGTGGGCTTGTATCCTTTTTCACTCATTTTAATAGCAGGAATGAATTCCCATGCCATCTAATCCCATCATCCAAGCACACAGACCCCATGTCAGCCACTCCAATTTGCCCGGAGCACCTTTAAACATGGGTTTGCCTGCTCGTCCTCACCCTAAGCTGCACGCCTCAGGGGACGGGACCCACCGCCCACTTTCAGCAGGATGTGCCCCTCAAGGCAGCTCCCAGGGTGACAAATATTTTCCCATTTGACAGGCAAAACCTGATGTCAAATCAAAAAGCGGCTAGACATAGGACAGGGCCCCAGAGCTGCCTGAGGGCATCAGGCGACTGCCAGGCGGGGTCTCACCGAGTTCTTTGGAGCCCTGGCTCTCGCTGGCCAGCTCCCCCATCTTCACCAGGGCATCAAAGTAGCCTTTGGCTGCGTACGTCACACCTGGGAGAGAAAAAAGGGAGCAGTTATTTCCTCCATGAGGCACAGACAAGACTCTTCCCCAGCAAAAACATGGCAGTCTTTGCACGCACAGGCCAGCCCCGTCTCCTGCCCAGACAAGCTGGGAGAACATTCGGCTTGCTGTGATTTCTGGGTTGGACAGAACCCATCTCTTGTTGATATTCTTGTTTCACCCCAATCCTGAGAGCTCCCTTGACTCGTAAGAACACAGCTTACCGGTTCAGGCCCTGGGCTACTCAAGTCAAATTGCAGAGTGCTGATTCCTATCACGTGCTACCAGGCGGGGTGGGGGCGGGCGGGGAGTGCTGCACTAACTACGTGTATTTCGTGAGACAAAGAACCAACCCCGGGCAAGGAAACTGCAGAGCTGGGCAGTAGGAAGCCATTTCCCCACAGATCCCCAAGCCGAGCCTGGAGTGGGAGAACTATTTCCCATTGCTTCAGTCTCAGACCAGGACGCCCACCAAGCATCACTTGGTATTGCCGCCGCCTGAGGGGCCTCCCATCAACTCCGAGGCAGAGTCTGATCTAATCAGAAGTGGGCGTGAAGGGCTCGGGCTTGCTGAACTCCTCCCCAGCCACAGGCGTGGAGCAGGCTCCGGGAAGAGCCTGGGCTTCCTCCTCAGGGACTCCAGGGAGCGCCTGGCAAACTCCTCCACCTGACAAGGAGCCCCACCCCGACCTCCAGGCTGCAGAAAGGGCGAGGCAGGGCCCTGGAGAGCAGCGTAATTACAATTTCTAATCCGTTTTCTACACAACCCACTTAGGCGCCTATAACTGGGCACTTCATCAGATTTTATTTATGTACTTTTCAATTCAGTGCGCACAATTTGTTCTGCGGCACAAGACTACGTCTGCAGAGGAATGAAGGGCTGTGCCTCGGGGGAGGTGGGCTGCCTCAAATAAAAGAAAAACGAAACCGCGGAAGTGAGACTCCAGGGCCGCTGGCTGTGGCCAAGGTGGCCGTGCTGCCTGGACAGCTGAGCTCATCTCTGCGAGGCCATCACGAAAAACAGGAGGAGGAAGTAAAGCTCTAAGTCTCCGCACTCAGCCCTGCCGCCCTCATGAGGAACCAAGCAGGAGCAGAAAGGCTCAGAAGGAACCCATGCCTTGGTGGCATCAAAGGGCTGAAGTGCCTGCTCACCCAGAGGAGGGGAGCACAGGCCCTGGCCCCCAGCGCAAGCCACCGAAAGCGGCATCCACACCACCTCCCTGCGTGCGGACGACGGGGAAGAAATCCACACCTCGGAGAGCCCCGTGAGGACTGTGAAAGACTCTACCATAGATGAGGTCACCGAGTGTCCTGCAGACAAGTGGCTCTGGGAAAAGGAAGCCATCGTCAGTCTGCAATGTGCAAGACCAGCCCCCATCTCCAAGGGTGGGATCATCTGGACCCTGGATTCCCATCGTAATGCCCAAGATTCAGACCCAGCTGGGAAGAGATGAACAACCGGTCTCATTCACAGGGCGTGGAACTTAGCTGGGCCTGGAGAATCTGGACATCGTGTGCCGTGCCTGGAGATCGTGGGATCACCATGGTTGGAGGCCCTCTGCACCCACCTCGAGCCAGGCCTCAGCCTTCCTACTCTGATTCAGGAGCCTCTTCCCAGCGTCAACATTTCAGACCAGAGGCAAAGGCAGCTCTCCCTGGGACCCCCACGAAGCTGCCCAACCACCGGGGAGCACCGCAGGGGAGCAAACCAGGTGCAACTTCCACCAGGAGGCCACGCCAGCCCTCAGAGCAGCCACAGGCTCTGCTGCCGACTTCCACTACCTGGTCCAAGAGGCTCCCGGCTGGGGGACAGGGTCACTACCATAGCCCAAGGATCTCCACTGTCATTAAAACCCTGCCTCAGGCCAGGCTCATGACTGTAATCCTAGCACTTTGGGAGGCTGAGGTGGGCGGATGATGAGGTCAGGAGATCAAGACCATCCGGGTTAACATGGTGAAACCCTGTCTTTAAGTAAACTACAAAAAAATTAGCCAGGCGTGGTGGCCGGGGCCTGTAGTCCCAGCTACTGGGGAGGCTGAGTCAGGAGAATGGTGTGAACCCGGGAGGCGGAGCTTGCAGTGAGCCGAGATCACACCACTGCACTCCAGCCTGGGTGACAGTGTGAGACAGAAAGAGACTCCGTCTTCAAAACAACAACAAAAAACAAAAACAAAAAACACCCTGCAAACTGCCGCTAGAGGAAAGACTCTCCTTAAGAATTTTGACGAGCAGGTCCCTCGGGCTGTAACCCCGGGACCAGGGCTGTAGAGGAGGGGCAGGGTGGACAGAAACAAGGCTGTTCCTGGGGCAGCCATGGGGGCCCCTGCAGGGTGCCGGGTGCAAGAAGAGGTGGCCCAAGGGAGCTCCCTGTCCCCTTCATGCCCACAAGGAAACATGAAGGCCACCCCCCGCTAGACGTGGCAGGCAGACACAACTGGTCCACCTTGGGAGCTGAGAAGGAGGGCAGTGCCAGAGACAGACCTTCTGCCAGGTGCTCGGTTGGGGTGCTTTGTGCCCAGGTGACAATGGAGTAAAGGTGGTTAAAAAAAAAAAAAAAGGGCTGACCCACTCCTGCCCCCTCCTTGCCACCTCTAACCTGGCACCAAAACTGGACAACTAACTCCACCCAGCCCATGGGTGCCGTGACACCAGGAAGCCGTGGAGGAGCCGGGGGCGGCTGGCGGAGATGCGGTGCGTGACCTGGAAAACACGGTCTCCTCCCTGCTAGGAGATGTGGACTTTGCCTATGAAGATGCTGCAGTTACAGGGACAGACATGGTAGAGGACGCAGGGGCATCGGGGTCACTGCCCAAGAACAGCAAGTCCCCATCCATGGCCGGACTCGGCCATGAGCACCTGCGGGGCCAACAGGGCAGGCGAGAAGGGCATCTGGGGACAAGGAAGCCACTCCCCACCAGGACGGAAAGACGCAGGGGCACCCAAGACCCCGCGGCGGAGCGCCTGGGCGGGGTGGGGGTGGTGGGCTGCGTCCCAGGGAGACAGTGGGAAGAATGGAATGGCCCTGCAGCCACCACCCCCCACACCCTCTGTCCTGGCTCTTTGTGAGAAGGAGCAGCAGGGTGTTCACTCAGAGAGATGCCACAGGTCCCAAAGCCAAAGCTGCTGCGGTTACCAACAGCTTCATCCCAGCCCTGATCCCACAGTTTCTACATGATTCTGAGGGACTGACATCCGCACCCCTCCCGTCTCTAGATGCCACGGGACACGAGCAGCCCGCACAGGCAGGGGCATGCTGCCACGGTGACGGCAGACGCAGTCCAGAGTGCATGGGCTACACCTTCGCTCAGAGCCGCTATCCGGCTTTGTTGCTGGAACAAAAAAGACCACCTTTCGCTCCTGACCAGGCCCCACAGGCTGTGCCCAAGTCCATGTGCCAGCTCAGGAAGCAGCTCCCACCCCACAGGGCCAGGGCGCAGTTCTACCTGCCAGCGCCTTCTCGTAATTCTTCCCCATGGCGATGAAGTTCCGGAGGCTAGGGTTGAACTGCTCCATGATGGTCTGGAAGAAAGCAGAGAAGAAACAGCATTACTGGCAGAGGTCACCCTGGTGACCCCGAAGGGTCCGAACACTGAGGTGCCAGGCACCCCCCCAGGGGTCGAGACCACAAACGCTCAAGGTGGGCTTCTCGAGTTCAAATCCCAGCCATGCCCCTGATCAATGTCCCTGGGAAAATGACCTTCCTGAGCCTCAGTTTTCACATCTGTACGAAAGGGATGAGAAGAAACCCTGCGGCGGGAGTGTCTGCGGACTGAAGGAGCGCGTCTGCACGGTGCAGCAGGCAGGACACAACTGGCGCTCAGACGCACTGCCGCCGAGGGGCTGTTCCATTAGCGCGGCTGAGTCAGCCCAGATGGGCCCCCACCGGCCACACACAGTCACTCACCGACGTGGCGCCCCCCTCCCACTAAAATCCTACTCAGCACATCAATTACCAAACATCAGCTCTGATTAGCGCCACGGCAGCCTGATCTGCAAATGCCACGCTATGAATAATCCAACGGCTCTGGGTCTGTTTGCCCGACGGACGGGCATCTCAGTGCCAAGATCAGCAGTTCTTAGACTCAAGAAATTAGATTTTCACTGTGAAGGCCAAATAAATGTTTTAATTACAAGGCATAAAAACAGGCACACACAAACAACAGCCAAATGAGAATTCTACCCGCATAACACAATCAACAGCCAACCCCCGCCAGCAAGGGCCCGGGGAGCAGCTCCAACAGAAACCCTGGCGCAGCCGCCTCCCGTGTTTTCCGGTCGCTTGTTATGATGTGATCCTGATCTTTCCCGAGGATCACAGGAAGGGAAGCCAACCAGCCCTGTCACAGACGAGCAGAAGGCTGTGGGGCCCCCACCCACCCAGCCCCAACCTGTGGGCTAGAGGGTGGAGAGGGAAGGGCAACTCCATCCCCCACCCCCTCTCCCAGCACCTGGCCTCAGCCTCCGGAGCCAACAGGGCAGATAAACAGGGCATTTAGGGACAAGGAAGCCACTCCCCGCCACGGGATCTGGCTCCAGAAAACCCGCTATTTCACGTGTCTTCCATTCCCTGCCCTGAGCTACGGCCAGGGTGTGTGTTCTCGGGGAACGAGGCCCCCAGTTCTGTGCTACACCACGGCTTGCAGCAGGCCGGGTACACCTCAGTCCTGCCCGTGCTGGAACCTCCAGTGGTAAAGCCACCCGGCCAAGTCCCAGGGCAGGTGCCCCTTCCTTCCTGGATGCAGCAAGGGTGAGGGCACCTTAGCGTGTTAGCCCAGAGCCCATGTGCACAGGGGTGGGGGATGCAGCATCCACCCAGCCGCAAAGTCCTGTCCTCACAGAGCCAACATCTACTGAGGGAACGCAGGACTGGGGGCCAGCGCTTCCGCAGAAGTGGGAAAGGCGTGCTCAGCAAGACGTGGAAGGCAGGCAGGGAAGCACTTCCATGCCACACAGCAGTGGGCAGACCAGAGCAGGGCAAAGGCCCCGAGGCAGGGCCCACGGTGAGTTCCTGGGAAAGTAGGACCCGACGTGGGGGTGGAAGGGGCCCAGGGGAGGCAGGAAGAGGAAGAGGTGGGTGCAGTGGGATACACCCTGAGGCCAGGCTGCATGAAGCTAAGGAGGGTCTGAGCAGAGGGATGGGCCAGCTACATGTAAAAGATCCCACTGGGTCGCTGGGTCGGATACGGTGGCTCACACCTATAATCCCAGCACTTTGGGAGGCAGAGGCGGGAAGATCACTTGAGCCCAGGCATTCAAGACCAGCCTGGGTGACATGGTGAGACCCCATCTCTACAAAAAATTTAAAAATTAGCTGGGTGTGGTGGTGCACGCCTGTGGTCCCAGCTACTCAGGAGGCTGAGATGTGAGGACTGCTTAAGCCTGCAAGGTCAAAGCTGCAGTGAACTGTGACTGTGCCATTGCACTCCAGCCTGGATGACAGAGTGAGACCCTGTCTCTAAAAAAAATAAAACAGGCCGGGCATGGTGGCTCATGGCCATAATCCCAGCACTTTGGGAGGCCAAGACAGGTGGATCACAAGGTCAGAAAATCGACACCATCCTGGCCAACATGGTGAAACCCTGTTTCTACTAAAAATACAAAAATTGGCTGCGCATGGTGGCACACGCCTATAATCCCAGCTACTTGGAAGGCTGAGGCAGGAGAATCGCTTGAACCTGGGAGGTGGAGGGTGCAGTGAGCAGAGATCACGCCACTGCACTCCAGCCTGGCAACACAGTGAGACTCCGTCTCAAAAAAATAAATAAAAGTTTTTAAAAAACAAAAACAAAAAAACAACCAGAAGAGATCCCTCTGGCTGCTCAGGGGAGACTAGATTTTAGCCAAGGGCCCTGGCATATGCCGGGAGACCCACTGGACGCTCCGGGATGTCAGGAGAGGAGAGGCACGGATCACGCAGGCCTCTATTCTAGGGGCGGGGACGCTGCAGCAGAGCAGGCTCAGCACTGAACTAAATACTTAGCAATGAACCAGGAGCCTGGACGCTTTAACTCCCAGGAGCGCCTGGGAGCCAGGGCAGGGAGGCCACACAGGGAGTGTGTGAGATGGGTCTGGCGCCCAGGAGAACGTGAGCCAGAGACGACGCCTGAGAGTTACCAGCAGAGAGGAGAATGCTGAGACCTGGAGCGCTCTCGGCAGCCTGGTTCAAACGGATCAAGCAGATCGGGACTGACGCTCGGGAAATGCTGCCGGATGCGTGTTTATTGTAATGAACTCAAGCAGAAGGGGGCATCAGCCAAGTGAGGTGGATGCGGCCGATTCTAGTGTTCTGGTGTGTGTGTGCTCATGTCTGCAGGCACATCTGTGTGCATGTGTGCACGTGTGTTCGCGTGTGCATGTACACATTTGTGAGTGCGTGTGCTGAGATGCAGCATCAAGCATGTTTCTCACCCTATGTGACACAGGTGTGAAAACGCTACCACAGAGGGTGGGCATGCCAGAGCAGACCCCTCGCTCACAAGAGCCCCATGTGCTTGGCTTCAGGACCATGACCCCTACAGACCCCCGGGCAGAAGAGGTGGCTCAACCTGAGCCCTGTGAGCTCCACTAACATCCTGAGCAGCAGGAGAAACAGGCCAGGAGCCACCCAGGGCCAACCACGGCGGGTCAGCACAGCAGCCATGCCCACTGCATGACGCACGGGGCAGCCCCAAGGTTTCGCTTCCTTAGTGCAGCAGCTGAGCTCACACGGAAGGAATGCAGGAGAAAATGGGCAGGGAACAGCCACCAGGCCACCTGGGCATGGCCCTGCCTCCATCTGCAAGAGAGGGGCGGCGGCCAGGACACACAGGTGCTGCTGTCCTGGCCCGAAGGCAATGGCAGAGGCATCAATTCCACTGAGCAGATATTGTAAGGGGGGACTCCCCTTCCCAGGCGGAAGGGCCAGTTCCTCCTCCTACGTCTGCATCCAGCCCCTGGGCCCGAAGAGAGGCTTCTGTGGAGCCCTGCCTCAGGCACACACAGCAGGCATCACCCACCCCTCCTCCGGGCTCCTCCCTCTCCTGGGAGCCACAGGAGGAGCCCAGCCCCTCTGCTGGGAGACCATCCTGGTCAGGCGTCTCTCTGAGCCCCCTAACGAGTCCATCCATTCTCCTAGAGCTCAGGCAGGGGCCATCCTGACCCAGTGGGCCTGTGTGGAGGTCCCCAGCCCGAGGACAGCCCCCTGTGGGGCATACATTCCACTCCCGCCTCCACTTCCACTTCTGACTCCCCTAACTAGGCCAAGGTCCTGGTCCGGGGGCCCATAACCCACAGGGGCCTTGCAGTGTCCGAGGGTCCCGGGGTGGGGGCCAGGGAGCCAGTGACAGGCAGCTCCAGCTCCTCTGGAACGAACACCAACAGCGGCGGCCCCAGGCGGAAAGAACTCAGTTCTCAGCCACACCAACGCGGCTTTTCCAAGTCATGGAGCGAGTGTATCTTTTTGCAGGATGCCGCCAGGAAGGAGCTGAGCTCAGACACCCTGACGCCCTGACAGTGCTGGTCGGGGCGGGGAGGTCTGTGGGCTTTAAAAGGGGAAGGGAGCTTGTTTCTTACTAACACCAAAGGGCTGCAAAACAGAAAAGCCTAGGCCGGGAGGGAGAAACTGCACAAGTAAATAACCTCAAGCCCTCAGAGGGGCCACCCCCACACGGCAGGTCTGAAGTGAGTTTAAAGCCCAGCTGTCCACACTGAGGGCGCTCAGGGACACGTCGTGCCATCCTCAAGACCACAACAAAACTAAGAGGCTCCTGGGGGCTACGGGTACAGAGAGCGCTGTGCAGGGGTTCTGTGACCCCATCCCCCTGCCAGGAGAGAAATCCTACACCATGAGCAACCATCACACTGTCCTCAAACTCTAGGACCTGTGCGGTGCAAACGCAGCCTGGCGCGTGCAGAGCTCTGCTGTGCCCTGGTGACCACGCGCTGGCTCCCCGGGCAGCGTTCTGGGCTGGCAGGGACTTCTGGTTCCCTGTTTGTTTATTCACTACTGACCAGGGAACACCTTTCCCACCCCGGGGTGGTGATCCTCGGCGGGTCTGCCCACAAGAGGCTCCCACACATGCCATGGAAGGTTTCCCCTCATAGGACTCATGCTGCGAAACGCCAGGTGAGGAGGCGTCCCTGCCCAGGGCTGCCCGCATGCTTGGCTGCCCTCCTGTTGGGAGACCCATAGAGACGGATGTTCCAGTGGCCCTGGAGTCACATGAAATCCAGGCCTTGACCACAGCAGGGACCCCAGCTGTCCCTACTACAGCCCCCAGGGACCCCGGCTATGTATTTCTGAAGGTACAAATGGGAGGGCCGTGTCCACCAGTTAGAGGTGGCCGCCAGAGAATGTCAATGAGCCCAGGGAGCCCTTTTGCTGGCGAGCTGCCGGACACTGCTGGCCAGCCTGGAGACTGTGGCCATTATGATTCAGGACTGCGGGCCGGCCTGGCCCGTGCAGGCGCAAGGCAGCAAAACCCCCATCATCTCCACGTCCTCCCAACTTGGGCAACAAAGGAGAGCGGCCAATACGTGTATAAAAAGGAGCTCTGGGCCGTGCTGGGGCCCACCTTCCACCCGCTCAGGAATTCTCTTTACCCCTTGGCTCTTCCTCCTGTGACGCTGCGTCTCCAGCGCTTTCCTGGCAGGGCGGCCACACACAAAAGCAGTCTCTCTGTGGACGGAGAGCGTCCCCCACCTCCCTCCAGCCCCTCAAGGCAGATGCCAGGGTGGGCATGTATGGCCACACCCCTAGGGCCTGTGTGCGTATGGACCCATGCATGCACATATACCCGTGTGTGTGCTGCGGCCATGTACTGCACGCATGTTTACCTGTGCACGTACACTCACGTGTGTGCCGGACGCACGTGGACCCATGTGTGCGCTGTGGGCATGAGCTGCATGTTTACCTGTGCACGTACACTCACGTGTGTGCCGGACGCACGTGGACCCATGTGTGCGCTGTGGGCATGAGCTGCATGTTTACCTGTGCATGTACACTCACGCGTGTGCGGGACGCACGTGGACCCGTGTGTGCTGCATGTGTCTGTGTGTAGCCAGGCTGAGCTGTGTCTTCTATCTACTCAGAGGAAGAGAAAGAGTCAATGTTGGGACCTTCCCTAGCTGCCTTAGACCCTCATCACCCTAATCCTCACCCAGCCCCTCCATGAGAGTCACTGTCCCATCTCCCATATGGACAAAATGAAAGTGAGGCTCAGGAAGGCAGGGGCCGGCCCACTAGCTCTTGGTGGAGCCCAGAGTCCTGGCCTCAACCCTGCTGACCACACACCCAGCCTGGTCCCTCTCCTTCAATCGCTCCTGGTATTGTACCCGACATGCTCCCCGAGGCCACATTCCAGCAGTATCAGGAAAAACGGTGACTCGATCCTGTCTGGCCTCCCCAGGAGGGCCAATGCCCACAGCGGCTGACTGTTGTGGGGAGGGGCCCTGCCCACCCACTCCCTCATCCACCGACTGGCACAGTTCCTGAGGGGCCAGGCTGCTGTTGCCCACTGGACCACTGCCCTCACTTCCACCTCTGTTGCAACAGGCAGAAGCCGGTGCCAGCTGCAGGGCCAGCAGCGCCAGAGGGGCTTCCCCCAGCCCACTGTGCCACCACGGCCACGGCGTGAGGGCCCCACACACAGACACGGACCTCACCGCACCCACGGCTCTGGTCCATGTAGGCTTGGTGGGACCCTGTCTAGGAAGCCAAGCTCCAGGGAAGGCAACATGCGACAGAGCCAAGCCCGGAAGCCCCAGGCCACATGTCCAGCACAGAGCAGGGAGGTGCAGGAGGGGCCCTGAAGCAGTGGACAGTCCTCCTAGGAGGACACCTCAGGGCTTGCTGTCCGGGGGCCACAGGCTCAGTTCCCTTGGCTGCCAGGGGGGTTGGGGGTTTCTGTGGGCAGAGAGCATCGGGAAGGCGGCAGCGTCCTCCAGGGCAGGCCACTGCTGACCCCACACATAGGAGCACTGATGAGCTCCAGGCCCTGGGAGATGGCTCACCGGACAAGGAGTGGGGGCTGTGGCGGTGTGAAGGAAGCCTGGCTGGAGTGGCGTGGACGGTCCTGTCCCCTCTAAACACTTGGACATCTGTCCTGGAGGATCCTTCCTGAAGGAAAAAAACCAACTCCAGGAGCCCAGCTGGGAGGGCTGCCTGGAGGAGGCAGATCTTGAACTGCATCTTGGTTCCAGTCAGACAAACTACAAACGCATGTACACGGATTTAGGAAACAAGGGAATGCATGGAAGCTTCTGGGAGGAAACAGCCCGTAGGGTGAGGACAGGAGCCTGAAGGTGAGCTGGAGGCTGCAGAACGGGATCCCAAGAGGAACGGTGACAAACCAGGCAGAGACAGCACCCTCCTCCTTACCCTCTGTGGCTGGGGGTACAGGAGCTGGCAGCTCTGCCTCCCTGTACTAATGGGCAGGAGGAAACTCTGTGGCCAAACCCCTCTGTCATGCCAGGCACCCCCACCATGAGCCCCCACAGGCCATGAGACCCCACAGAGGGCTGTGGGTGTCAGGAAGCAGGTGCCTCTCTGGAGGCAGGAGGGGGCCAGCCTGTTCCAGAACAGGGGGGTCAGGAGGGGCCACTAGGCTTCTCCAAGGGCAGCTTCGGCACAGCCTGGTTGACCCAGGCTCCCCAGAGCCACACAGGTCAGACAGATGGAGAGCACATCCCAGCCCCTCCTGGAAGCCCGAAGACAGACACCCAGGTCCCACCCATACCAGGGACTCCTGCAGGGCCCCGGGCAGCCTGGCCACAGGTCATGGTGGGGTCAGCATGAGGGGCTGGGATGTCCCCTAAGGTGGTAGCTCCAGTTCTCAGCCTCTAGAAGCACCCCAGAAAAGGCATCATCATAATAAAGTGATTCCTTGTGTCTTTGGCACGGTGCCCAGATGTGACCAGAGGAGCAGGTGGTCCTCCACCAGGAGGGGCCCGAGGTGCAGAGACTCCTTCCCTCATGCTGCCTGCCCTACCCGCCAGGTTCCTGGGAAGGCCCCAAGACAGGGAACATGAATGCTGCAACTAAAAACAACAGAGACAAATGCCAACGCTAAGGCCAGCTCCTGAGCCAGGCACTTCTGCCCTCCGCCTGCGGGAAGGGCCACACAGCCATTCCCCTGGGCTCCCAGCCTGGGGCCCTGCTTCCCTTTCAGGGTTTCGGCAGCATCTCCCTTTCCATGGGCCTTGGACACCTGCACGCCCTCTGCAAGCTTTCTCCTGGGGTCCGCAACTCTCAGGGGCCCCAAGTCTGAGCCCTCCTGAATGAGGGCCCCAGGAGCAGAGGCCCACAAGGACAAAGGCCACACGTGGGGCCTTGTACGCAGGACACCATTACCCGGCCCGCGCAGGAGGAGCCACAGCCCAGCAAAGTCCAAACACAGCACCAAGTAGCCTGGCCACTTCCTTCCTGTCCGAGAGGCACATCCTGCCTATCCCAGCTTCAATGGGGACACAGCCCCTTACAAACACCTTCCACTGTCTGGCCACCCTGGCCTGGGTCACAGAACTTAACAACTGCTCAGCCTCACGGGGTGCCCAGCCCATACAGGACAGTGCATTCTGGCTGCCTTTACCTGTGGCCAGCATTGAGCTGGCCCCTCACCAGCTGACTGCTCGTTCAATGGAATCAGCTGTCCCTGTAGAAACCTTCCTGTTGTCATAAACTGCAGGCTGCACTCTGACTGAGGTTAGAGGAGAAAACCATCACAGGCTCCTAATGCAATCAGCCTGAAGACAGGTGGCCACCTCCAGGCAGCATGGGAGACTTGGCCCCTCCAGCAGCTACTGTACCTCCGTTGCAGGGTGGGGCCCACTGGGTGTCATGGCTGAACTGTGTTCCCTCCCAAGACGCATGTGTTGAAGTCCTAATCCCAAGCATCACCGAGTGCAACTGTGTTTGGAAACAGGGTCTTTAAGGAGATGATAAAAGTAACTGGGGTCAGCTGAGCGCAGTGGCGCACGCCTGTAATCCCAGCACTTTGGGAGGCCAAGTTGGGCAGATCACAATGTCAGGAGATCGAGACCATCCTGGCTAACACAGTGAAACCCCATCTCTACTAAAAATACAAAAAAAGTAGCCGGGCACGGTGGCGGGTGCCTGTAGTCCCAGCGACTTGGGAGGCTGAGGGAGCTGGAGGCTGCAGAACGGGATCCCAAGAGGAACGGTGACAAACCAGGCAGAGACAGCACCCTCCTCCTTACCCTCTGTGGCTGGGGGTACAGAAGCTGGCAGCTCTGCCTCCCTGTACTAATGGGCAGGAGGAAACTCTGTGGCCAAACCCCTCTGTCATGCCAGGCACCCTTGGCTGCCAGGGGGGTTGGGGGTTTCTGTGGGCAGAGAGCATCGGGAAGGCGGCAGCGTCCTCCAGGGCAGGCCACTGCTGACCCCACACATAGGAGCAACTACTGACCAGGGAACACCTTTCCCACCCCGGGGTGGTGATCCTCGGCGGGTCTGCCCACAAGAGGCTCCCACACATGCCATGGAAGGTTTCCCCACTGCCCCACCCCCTCCCTGTGAAGGCTCTGGCGGGGTCTTCGGGCTGGGCTCACTGCTGGAGGAGTGACTGTGGCTGAGCAAGCAGGCAGGCAGCCTCGGAATGCCTGTACCGCCCCGCCTCCTGCCAACCTCAGGTCAGGCAGGTGGGAGGTGTGGCCCAGCCCGGGGGCTGCAGCCACACTCACGAACACAGGCGCCCAGGACAGCGACAAGCAGCCTCGGGGTGGGGCTTTCCTGCTCCGGACCGCTGACCTCTGATCTCTGAAGAATTTTCCGTCCCACGAGCTAGCGATCGTGGCCACCACTTACTCAGTACTCTCTCTGTGCCAGGAAATACACTATTGTCTCACTGAATTAATGAGAAAACAGAGGCCCAGCAGCGAGAATGCCTTCCTGAACTCCTCGAACTCCTGAACGGAAGGACAGACACACAGCTGGAGAGCCAGAGGGCCCTGGAGTTGGCTGGCCGGTTTCAATGGGCTCAGCTACTCCAGCTGATGGGCGGGGACACACTTCTCCCCCGAACCGAGGATCCTCTGCCAGGCAGGGACACCCAGGACCCGCACACAAAGCAACAGTAATGAGGCTGTGCACAGAGGACACCCAGCGCAGTGTCCAGTGCGGACAGCGGTGAGGGCTCCCGGGTGCCAGGACGCTCCAGTGCGGACAGCGGCGAGGGCTCCCGGGTGCCAGGACGCTCCAGTGAGGACAGCGGCGAGGGCTCCCGGGTGCCAGGACGCTCCAGTGCGGACAGCGGCGAGGGCTCCCGGGTGCCAGGACGCTCCAGTGCGGACAGCGGCGAGGGCTCCCGGGTGCCAGGACGCTCTGGTGTGAGCAGCGGCGAGGGCTCCCGGGTGCCGGGACGCTCCAGTGCGGACAGCGGCGAGGGCTCCCGGGTGCTGGGACGCTCCAGTGCGGACAGCGGTGAGGGCTCCCGGGTGCCGGGACGCTCCAGTGCGGACAGCGGTGAGGGCTCCCGGGTGCCGGGACGCTCCGGTGCGAGCAGTGGCGAGGGCTCCCGGGTGCCAGGATGCTGTGGGCCCAGCCGTCCCCAGAGCCAGAGCATGAGACAGCGGTACCACCACCCACGCCCCAGTACCCCAGCTTCACAGCCACATCCCTAGATGGGACTCCTGCCGCCAGTTGGACCGCAGCCCACGGCTCTGCTCCACGGCCTGGAGTCACCGAGGCCCTGGAGTCTCAGCTCAGGGGCAGGACAGGTGGAGGCTGGTGTTCCATCCATGCCTGGACTGCGTGAGGACGGGCTTTCCACGGTGGAACAAATGGAGACGGACACAGGCCTCCTCTGCCAGACAGAGTCGGCCAGGGAAGAGGAGGCTGGACAAGCTCAGAAGAAAAAGAAGTGTACGAGGACCCAGGTCCACTTCACATCAGGAGGCGGCATCTCGGCCTCCACCACACCCACTGGTTTAAAAGCCCCACCTAGACTGGACACAGTGGCTCATGCCTGTAATCTCTGAGAGGCCAAGGTGGGAGGATCATTTGACCCCAGATGTTAAAGACCAGCCTGCGCAACATGGTGAAACCCCATCTATACAAAAAACAGCCAGGTGTGGTGCTGCACACCTGTAATCCCAGCTTCCTGGAATTGCTTGAGCCCAGAATGCAGAGGCTGCAGTGAGCCAAGGTCACACCACCGCACTCCAGCCTAGGTGACAGAACAAGACTCTGTCTTAATTAATTAAATTAAATTAAAGCCCCCGTCTAGAAGTGGCAAGGCCACTTTGCCTGGCACTAGCAGCATCCACCCAGACCACGCTTGGCTCTGGGTGAGACAAACCCTCTACTGGACAGATTCCAGCTCCGGCGGTCAGAGCATACCCTCTCCCCCACCACCATCCCCAACCCCATTCTAAAGTCAAGATGTCGCTCTTTACCAGCACAGGCACCTGGGCCACCCCAGCGCATTCCACCATTCGCGTCCTGCGACTCCCACTGGGGGAGTTATGACATGCGGGCGATCACCTCGCATGGCCCACCTGCTGACTCTCCCCTGCCACAACCAGGCAGCGGCACGCCTGGACAGCTCAGTGTACAAAACACATAAGGACCATCCAAAGAAGCCCACTGCACTCCAGCCTTGGGAAACAAGCCGAGACGCTGTCCTCAAAAAAAAAAAAAGAAAAAAGAAAAAGAAAAGGAAAGAAAAAGGCCCAGGCGCAACCGCCTGGCCTTCCAAGCCTGTAAATCCACGCACTTTTGGCGCAGCCCGAGACGGCGGATCACCGAGTCCATGAAGATCGAGACCAGTCCTGGCTAACACAGTGGAAACCCCCCCGGCCGTCTCGCACTAAAAAACAAATACACAAAAACTAGCCAGGCGACGGGTGGCGGGCATCCCCCGTAGTCGGCAGCGCCTACTCGGCGAGCTTGGCAGCCGAGGAGAATGGGTGCGTGAACCCCGGGAGGTGAACCTCGCCAGTGAGCTGCAGACATGCGCCACTGCCAACTCCCTGCCTGGAGCAGAGACGCGAGACTCTGTCTT